GTTTGGAATCTAATAATCCCCAGAAGACAATTTTAAAATCACTGGATGAAATGACCTTTATAGAGTGTTTTCTCATTATACAAATTGTATTTGTAAATTACACTACAGTTGTTAAAGAGATGTTATTTGGTTTATTTTAAAGTAAAGTATAAGCATTGGTGTTGTTTCCCATGGAGCTGCTGGTGGGCTTAAACCCCAGACCTTTGCTTAGCTGCCAAGCACCAAAACCCTCTCAAAAAAAGGGAACCAAATCCACTGCCACTGAGTTGATTCTGACATAGCAACCTTAAGAACTGCTCCACAGAGGTTCTGAAACTCTCTTTTTTTAAAATCATTTTACTGAGGGCTCGTACAACTCTTTAGCACAATCCATATATCCATCCCTTGTGTCTAGCACATTTGTACATTTGTTGCTATCATCCTCAGAATTTTTGCTTTCTACTTGATATCAGCTCATTTCCCCCCTCGCTCCTCTGCCATGAACCCTTGATAATTTATAAATATTATTATTTTGACATGTCTTACACTGTCCCAACATCTCCCTTCAAACTGTAAATCGTTGCAGTGTCATCTTTCTCCATGGAGCAACTGGGAGGCTTAAATTGTTGACCTTGAGGCTAGAAGCCCAACCTTTAGCCCACTGCATCTCCAGGGCTCCTTAAAGCATACACATAAGTAGTAATATTTTAAAATATTCCAATAAATCACATGATGATCCTAAATATTACTGGAGCTCACTATTAGGAAACTTAGTATTAATAGATTTGATAGAAGAGTAAGCCAAGCAGGATTTAAAAATATTTAGGGTTACAGTGGTGAGAAGCAATAGGCATCATGGAGTTCAGAGCATGCCACAGCATGCAAGACACATAGTAACTAATTTAACTGTCCCACAAAGTATGAGAGGTTCATTTTATAGCTGAAAAACTTAAGTCCAGAGCGACTAACTTGTCTTGCTAATAAGTAGCCGAGGCATTCCTTAAACACAGGCTATCTGATTGTAGAGAATGAAGAGATGTCCCTGTGATGTGCTGGGTTATGTGTTGGTCTGCTAACTGCAAGGTCAGCAGTTTGAAAAGGTCAGGCGAAAGATGAACCTTTACAGCCTTGGAAACCCAAAGGGGCAGTTCTATTCTGTCCTATACCATCACTCTACGTTAGAACTAACTTCAGATGGTGTGTGGTCTTAAGTAGTATTCTCTATTTTACCTCTCTGGGTTCTAATATCCATTGATATGACGACACAGAACTCATACAGACAACTTGTGATTTTATTAAGGAAGTTATGAATTAGTAATGCCAGTGAGAAATGCTCAAGACATGTTACAAAGTTCCTTCGGGTTCCCTAATAAATACCCAAAGGGGCATACCACTTTGCTGTGGGACTGAACCCAAAGGTATTCACCTCAAGCTCTGTGGGTCAGCAAACCTAGCTCACTAAGTGTCCTGAAGTACCCTCACTCCACAAGCTCGACTGCTGCAAAATGCACTTCGCTTTACTAAATCCATGCTGCAGCTCTGATATTACAGCCATCTTCTGAATCCAAGAAGTTCATTGCAGAGGACGAGTTCTACTCCTGGCTCTTTCAGATAATGAGATCCCTCCTCCTGCTTCTCAAAGGGCTTATTTTATATGCAGCAGGATGGTACTGCAGGGACTACTGGGCACAATTACTCACAGGTGCATCCTATCAGTAACTTCCCCCACCTTCTACCAGACTGATGCAGGAAAAGGTTGTTTAGTAAGAGACTTGTGCTAGAAGAGCCACGTCAAATAATTCACTGCCTCTGCAGATGGCATTGGTTGTATCTCTCTCTCTCTCTCTCTCACACACACACACACACACACACACACACACACACACACACACACACACACACACTAACCCAAAGCTTCAGATACATCTTCCTGGACAACTAGCTTCCCTACATTTTAGTTTCAAGAGTTCTGGGAAACCACATAACATTCCTGTGTTTTTGCTTCACTTTCTGCAACCATAAAGTACAGATAATACAAATAATAACAGATATAACAAACTAACACTAATAAACTCTATTTGAGGATCAAATAGAAAACGCCTATGTTTCTGTTAAGGGCCGTGGAGTTGATTCTGAGTCATAGGGACCGTTTGTACAATAAAATGAAACCTTCCCCACTCTTGCACCATTCTTACGTTTGATCCAATTATTGTAGCCACTGTGTCATATCCATCCCGTTAAGCATCTTCCTTTTTTTTGCTGACCCTCTACTTTACCAAGCATGATGTCCTTCTATAGGAATTGGTCCTCCTTTTGCCATGTCCAAAATATGTGAAACAAATTCTACCCATGCTCACTTTTAAAGAGAATTTCAACTGAACTACTTCTAAGACAGAGTCGTTTGTTCTGGTAACCCACAGTATAGTTAATAAGTTTCCCAACACCACAGTGCAAAGGCATCACTTCTGTAGTTTTCATTGTTCACTGTCTGGCTTTAAAATGCCAGGTGAATTTAAAATGAGGTGAATGAAAACACCAGTGGCTTGAGTCAGGTTCATCTTAGTCTTCAAAATGACATCTTTGCTTTTTTTTGATAGCACCACCTGGATTTATTTGTACAAACAGCACAGGGCACCAGCACCATGCAGATGGAAGCCTCACACCAGTCCCTCTCATCCTCAGATGGAGAGCTCCATTTTGTAGGAGACTGGGCACCTTTGGAAGCTTGAACTGGGGCCTGGGCACTTTGGGAGCTAGAGTTGAGGCCTCGCCTGGAGCATCAGCCTTGCTTTAGGTCTTGGCCTTGGGCTGGTAGGACCTCAGACCTTTGGCAATATGTGCCCCAGCCTGCTTGCCAAGACTGGGCAATGTAGGCCAGTTGATTGAGCTTGCAGTTGACACCCATTGGGATCTTAGCTTTTACCTCCGTGGGTTTCCCAAGATCCTTGATAGCCTCAGCACAAGCAGCTGCGACCTTGGCATTGTTGGCCTGCATTTTCTTCAGGCCTTTCTTGTTGTGCTTCTTGGCAAATTGCATGCTCTTCGGGAATTTGGGGTCAACCCCTTTGAGTGATTCGTATCATTGTGATCAGGGTTTCTTGATGCAGTTTCTGTGCCGTTTCTGGCACTGGTTCTGCATGGTGTGGTTCTTGGACTTAGCCAGTCTGCACCAACGCCTGCTGTTCCCACAGTGTCAGAGATGGAGGAGAGAGTCATCTTTGCTTTTGTAATGCCCCAAAGAGATATCTTGCGGCAGATTTGTTCACTGCAATCCACTGTTTGATTTTCTGACTGTTGCTTTCGTGGGGATTGATTATAGATCCAAGTAAAAGTAATCCTCGACTTTGATCTTTTTTTCAATTTGTCAAGATATTGCTTATTGGTCTAGTTGTGAGAATTTCTGTTCTCTTTATGCTAAGATATAATCTGCTAAGATATATACTGAGTACTGTAGTCTTTGTTTTTCATAACCAAGTGCTTCAAGTCCTATTCCCTTTCAGCAAGCAAGATTGTGTCATCTGTTATGTCTTCAATTCTGATGCTGAGGTTTTTTTTCATACAGTCCAGTTTCTTGGATTTTTTGCAGCATACAGATTATGTATGGTTAAAAAATACAATCCTGGTGCACTTTTCCTGATTTCAAATCACACAGTATCCCCTTGTTTTATTCAGACAACTGCTTCTGGATGTACAGGTTCCACATGAGCACAATGAATTCTTCTGCAATTCCCATTACTCATATCGTTATCTATTGTTTGTTATCCACATAGGTGAATGTCTTTGCATTTTCAATGAAATACAAGTAAATGTCTGTCTGGTATTCTCTACTTTCAGCCAAGATCCATCTGATATCAGCAATGACATTGGCAGTTCCCGATAAATGTACTGCTGCAACTATTTTTGTATTATCTTCAGCAAAATACTGTTTGATAATGTCCATATTCTGTTGGATCACCTTTCTTTGGAATGGGCATGAATATGGATCTCTTCCAGCTTAGTGGCCAAATAACTGTCTTCCACATTTCTTGGTATAGATGAGTAAGCATTTCCAGAGCTCCATCCATTGATTGATACATCTCTTGTACAGACAGCATCAAGGATACAGCAGAAAGAATAAAATATGACAGGCAAAATACACATGGCAGATTTCCCAGGCACCAAAATGAGCACCTTAATGCTAATGGCAATGTGCATAAAGAAAAAATGAAAATGAGGTTGCTGTGGCACCCCCTCCCTCCCCCCAAATAATAAATAACAGAGTGGAGGTTGAAAATTTAGTTCTAAAGAGCTAGAATGATTGGTTTAAAATTTAGATTATGCTGAATAATAAGTGTTTCTTTCCCTTCTAGCATCAGACTTTCATAGGCCCAAAATCACTTCTAAAATAATTATACTTGTTTTGGAACTACTTGTGTATCCTTCCTTTTGGTCTTATTGCTATCAACTTTTCATGCAATAAGGCTAAGAATCTTCATATAAGTATACTTGGTACATCACTCCTAATGCTTTCTTGTTGATGAATTATGGTTTGTTTGGTTGTTTTCTTTTTTTTTAAGTTTATTAGTTGTTGGCAGTGTGGAGGAAATATTTCACCTTTAGAAAAATCTTGTCATGTAACTTGATCCAATAAAAGATACTAAAATCTGATCATAACTAAACAAGGCAAACTCAAACTAGCAAATCACAGCTTAGCTCTTTCTCTTGGCACCATTCCCTGTAATTTTTTTATTGGCTGACAAGTACTTTTATAGAATCAAAACACTGTACAGGGAATACTGCTACCAAACATATACAATGAGGATCAAAATGTATTTCCAGCAATAAGAATATGCAAACCAAGCTTACTATTAAAATTTTTGGCTTAGTTTCAGGTCTAACCATAAAATCATATTAAATAATTTAAGCATATAGTTTTAGAACACTTAACTCCCGATAACATGCTCATATAGCTATCTGTTTTCAGATTTAGTATTTTTTTCTTCTAACCAATTTGTTTTCAATTGGTTTACAGTAATACTTACCCTAAGATTCTATTCATTCCATGTCTAGCAGCATAATGTAATGGAGTGTTGTGCTGGTAGGGCTCCCCATACGATGTGTTTGGATCAAGGGATTCTTTTAGCTGAGGGTTGTTTTCATATATTTGGCAGGCCAGGGTTTCATCACCATTGATGAGTGCTTTACGGAATTTGGTGGTTGTATTTCCCATGTTTTGTTTTGTTTTGTGATAGGCAGTGGCACTTTTTTCCTTCCCTCTTCAGCCACTTTTTGAATGCTTCTGCAACATGTTTCACATTCTAATGGAGAAAAAGAATTGTTTTAATTAGATTAAAAATTTTTGAATTCGAGTATATAGCACTATCCTCAAAGAAATAATATGACAAACATAATCTGAGAAGTATAAATTAGGGGAATATACTATATTACAATTAATAGCTAAAAAGTCTCAAATTTTCAATATTGCCCAGATAACTTCTTGTTAAACTACAGCACTTTCCCATAAAGAGGTAGTTAAGGTTACACAGGCTGTTCTTATGCACTACGTAAGTTACCTACACAAATGAGCTTTGTAATTTTCCTTTTCAGAGAGTCACTATGAGTAGAGTCAACTTGATAGCAGTGATTTTTCATATTGATAGGAAATTAACTTGATTGACTTTCCTCCATGGAAACATTTAAATATGTATATTTGTTGTGCTCTAGCCAATTTATAGCATAGTGAAGAATGTAAAATATTTTGGTCATATAAGAACTGCAAAACAAATGTTAAACTTTAATAAAGGAAAGGTGAAAATGTTCAGTATTTACAATGACATCAGAGAAAAGCTGTTTTTAAAATGTAAGCATATGACTATACAACTTAATAGGAGAGTCACAACAAACTATTTTATATACCTGACTATATAGAGAACAATGGCAACAGTGATGAGTCTACCATTTTATTGTTGTTTGACAGACACTGAGTTGATTCCAACTCATGGTGACCCCATGTGTGCAGAATAGAATTGCTCCACAGTGTCAAGGCTGACCTTTCACAAGCAGACTGCCTCTGGGTGGGTCTGACCCACTAAGGTTTCAGTTAGTAGGCTAGCACTTAACCATTTGTACAAACCAGGAACTCTTTTCCTACCTCCTAAGACCATTCAATTTATTTCTTTGTACTATGAAGAATTGAAAAGAAGCCTGAAAAATGATAATGTACATATGGGTTTTTTCTGCTGAAGCAATGTGATGGTAGGTGAGGTAAAAAGACATAGAAACAAATATAGGTGTAACTTTGAGCAAATCATTTATCTAATTATTATATCTTAGAAAGCTGTGAGGATTATGAGATACTTTGAAGTACCTAACACAGACCTTGGGCAATGTGCTCCTAAATGCTAATGTAATTCCAGTCAAATGTTTCTGAATCTACTATTGAGCTATGATCACTGTGGTAAAGTGATATTTCTTAACATGGATCTTCTTTCTACCCAAGACCCTGAAAACTCCCACCAAATGACTGGGTGGGACCATGCAAATTGGGTGTGTGAAACACTAATATAGGGAATTGGTCAGTTTTTGTTAACACTGCCCTGGTTAATTAGCCATTTTTGAAAGAGGAGCAGAAAAAGAGAAAGCCCAGGACCATCAGAAGAGAATGTTCCAGATCCCTGTCTATAGTGATGGAGGCCAAGACCAGAGGCATCAGAGACTGACACTGGCGCTATGGGACAGAGCAAGAGGACTAGCACAAGGACAATAGGAACTGTGAGACATCAACAGGCAGACATCCTGGTTCATGGAGGCAGAGGCTGAAGGCATGAGAGAGACTTAGTTGCTGGCTGAGAAGAGGTGCTGCTGTGCACAATATTCTTTACTGTTTACTGATATTGACTTGAGGTAATCTATTAACTTCACTAATAAATTCCTGTAATTGTGAATACTGTCTGTGAGTTCTATGTGGCTACTGCAATGCATTATCAAACCAGCAAAGAAGCAGAGTGCAGAAGGAGGAAAGACTGGTGTCTGAGTAGGTAAAGAAGGATGGAGCATGGAGGCATGTCTGACCTCTGCTACTGAACAATAGGGAAACTAGAGGAGGACAGATATGGCTTCCCATGCTATTTACGCATATGACTATCACAATTATTGACAAATGAAGCATATGTAAAGGCAAGTATGAAAAATGATGGAATAATGGCCTACTGCAGGAACTGTGAGTGCAGCAGGTACAAAAACGGGAGGAGGGGCATATGTGACCTCTTCTCGCTTCCCTGTTGCCATAAGGCAGAGGTCAGACATGCTTCCACTCTCTATTTTTCTTTACCTGTTCTGACACCAACCATTCCTCAAATAGCACTCTACTTCCATTCTAGGTTTGATCCGTTGCAATAGCCACAAAGAACTCACAGACAGCACTCACAATGATGGAGGTTCATTAGAAAAGTTAATAGGTTACAATAAGTCAGAATGAGTATATAGTAAGAATAAAATTATTGGTCCAAGCAGTGCCTCTTCTCAGTAGCCAAGTCTCTTTCTGGTCCTTAGCCTCTCAGTCATGTGGCCCCTTGGCTTCTGCCCTCCTGGAGGCCAAGACTAGAAAGCCAGCCTGATGTTCTGTGGAACAGTGTCATGCCTAGGCACCACTCCTCTGTTTAGTCTCATGGTCTTCTTGCCACAGCCTCTGGTGTCTGCTTCCAATACTTCAGACAAAGATCTAAAATATGCTTCACTGGTGACTCTTTCTTCTGGTGGTCCTAGGATTTCTCTCTGTGTTCCTGCTTCTGAGATGGCTCTTAAGCACAAAGAAATGGAGGTGTGATTTTTGTCTTTCAGCAGAAACACAGGGTGGTAGCTTGGTTCACAGGCTCTATTAAAGTGTAGACTTAAGCTAACCCTTAATCTTGTCCTTTAGCATAGCAGAGAATTTGATCCAAAATGGGGATACAACCATAGGTAGAGCCTAAAAGGTATTATTGCTAGAAAAAGGTATTATTGCTAGAGGGTCCATCTTAATTGACTGTATCTCAGCAAGGCTGGAATTTTTAATACTGGAATAAACAAAAAATTACTACCATTGAGTTAATTCAGACTCACAGCAACCCTATGATAGAGAGGCCACTGTGAGTTCCAAGACTCTAAATCAGTTGTGACCCCCAATCATAAAATTTTTCATTGTTACTTCATAACTGTAATTTTGCTACTGTTATGAATCGGGCAACCACTGTGAAAGGGTCGCTCAACCCCCAAACCGGTTGCAAATCAAAAGTTGAGAACCGCTGCTCTAAATCAATATGGGAGTAGAAAGCCTCATCTTTTTCCTGTGGAGAGCCTATAGCTTTGAACTACAGCCCAACACAGAACCTACTAAGCCACCAGTGCTCCCTAGTGTTAGGATAGCAGAATGTCTAAATGTATACTTTAGCCTTTAAAGTACAAATAACTAAAAGCTTTTATACAGGGTAATGATATCGTTAGTTTGTGCTGTAGAAAATTATTGTCACAATTTAAGACAGACTACAAGGAGAATTGAGCAGTATCATGTTGCCTAGTTAATGCAATGGCAGGCTAGAAACAAACAAAACTTTAAAATAAACTTTGTACAATGTAGTAATTACTTAAACAGAATTTAAATTAAAGAATCAAAAGTAAAAACAAGCAAGCAACACACAAATGACTTGCTTCCTTAAGTTTTATAAGAAACATGGCTCTCAACCTTGGCAGTACATTATGATAGCCTCGGAAATCAAAGCTACATCCCAGATCAGTTAAAAACTTTTAGGAGTGGCACCAAGGCATACAGATTTAAGTGCCTGGGGTAATTTAGACTGTGCAGCCACCTTTGTTATAGAATCACTCTAGCCAACTGCTTACATATAAGTTGGATGAGCAGGTGAGAGAGCAGGGTAAGGCATCTATGAAGGCTATTTTACAGATGAGTGTTAACTCTTTACTTATTTTAGTAGTACATTTCCTGACCTATATATATATATAATTAATGTGATTACTATTTGAACCTTTTTAAGGATTTTTTGTTATTGTCATGATTTTATTTTAAACATGCAAATTCATATGAACAATAAAAACTTTCAAAATTATGACTAAAGAAAAGGGACAAAAACCACTTTACTAGAAGGGAACCAATATTAGCATTTTGATATACAGCCACCTTGACCATTTATAATGTAGTTACAAGTATGCATATACATATTACACATACTGATGTACATTGAATCATATAACTAATTGGGGGAGGGTTACTGAAGTCGAAAGCACCATTCTTTTTATCATCTCGTAATTAGAAAAGCAAAATTCTCCCTCTTACAATTCACAATTTAGGGACACTCTACTTTCCACAAAATCTAGGTATCATCCTCACTTTCCCAACAGGATTGATGAAGACCAAATAGGTGCATAAGCTAATGTGAAGAAAGCATATGGTGCCTGGCTTTCAAAAGATAAAGCATCTGGGATCTTAAAGGCTTGAAATTAAACAAGCGGCCATCTAGCAGGGAAGCAAATAAGCCCACATGGAAGAAGCACACCAGCCTGAGTGATCGTGAGGTGTCGATGGGATCATGTATCAAAAGATCCAAAACAATCACATCAATGTGAAGTAATTCATTGAAGTGGAGACCCAAAGCCCATCTGTAGACAACTGGACATCCCCCATCGCCGCCCCCCAGAAGGGTTATAAGGAAGAGATGAGCCAGCCAAGGTGCAGTATAGCACCAATGAAACACACATCATTCCTCTAGTTCCGAAATGCTCGCCCCCGCCCACTACCACCTTACAAAATCCAGCTAGACCCTTTGTTCTACACACATTGGTCCAGATAAAAGCTCTCGACACATGGAATTCCGAACATATAAAACCCTAAGGTACGGTGGTGGGAGTAGGGATATCATGAGGGAAATGGGGTGGGGAGGATAATGCGGGAAGCCATCACAAGGTTGGATATATAGCCCTGCCTCTCCACCGAGGGGGATGAATAACAGAAATGTGAGTCAAAGGGACGATGGACAGTGAGTTAGTTAATTGTGCCAGCCTGGCCGATAATCACATGTGGGGCTGGTTGAAAGGCGGAGGGATAAATGGGTGGTGAGCCTCGGCCTTTCTAGTTCTCGGGTCTCTTGTTTTGTGATGGGTGCATCGGGTGCAGTTGCCTTAGCAGTTCCCTGCTTCAGCTTGCAAGATGGATTTCCTACAAGACATCCCCAAGGAGAAGCCGCATGGATCTATCCCGATGCAGCCCTGGGTGCTGGAGCGGCCGTGTGGAGACCCTTGCCAGTGCTGAGATGCTTACATGTTCACT